CACACACACACACACACACCACGGTTCCACACCCACCTCCTCACCCCACAGTATATCTTGCTAATGCAGACCTTTTTGTAATCTGTACAAAAAATAAAATAAAAAATAAATAGAAATTCCGAGGCCTCGTTGACTGCTTTACACCCTCTTTGTTTTCCCTCTTCTCTCTGCCCTCCCCGTTCCTCTGAATTTGTCCTTCTTTTACCAAAAGGAATTCAAGGGGCTTTTGACAAATCCTGGAGTCTGGCTTGTCTTTCCTGCATTTTTTTTTTTTTTTTTGGAATGGTTGAGTCGTGCTTCTTGTAAAGAGGATGTGGCGCAGGAGCAGTGTTTCCTGACTGATAAGGGGGGGGAGGTCGGGTGGGAAGCCTCGCTCCGTCAGGATGTTTGGGCCTGTATGGGCCCTTGCATCAAAAGAGCCAGAGTTGAGGGAACGGGAACCTGCTGTTCAGAAGGCGGGAGGAAGCAACGCTGGGCTGATTACCATCGACTTGCCTTCCACCATTTTTTTTTTTACCAGTAGCAACCTAGCTTTTCGTGTCTTCAACACAAGCTACACGTTTGTTGCAAATACAAAATCTGACCTCTTTTGGCTTCCATATTCCCTTTTGATTGTGTGCTTTTGACACCTTGCTGTGAATGTGATTAAACTGAGCAGAATGACAACATTCATCATGTTAGCAGTATTTGCAGCTGGTCAGGGGTCTCATTTCTTTGAGGTTAGATCATTTCCCTACATGCCTGCAGGGTTTAAAACTCTGCGGAGGGGTCAGTTTGAGCCTTTTTTGAATGTGGAAGCTGGGCGGGTGGAGCTAGAGGCATTTGAGGTGCGAAAAATAAAAAAAAGTGTCTTTGATGGGGTATCGGCCTCTGAGTTGTTAGGGGTTAGCTCCGGGTGCTGCTGCAGACTCCCTGGGTAAAATCTACTTGTATGTCTCAGGAAACACACCTCAGGGTAGGACGCTGTGACAAGGACACAAACTCAAGCATCAACACAGCACACCATGGAGCAGAGCCTTGATAATTAAATGTTTATGACTGATCAAATTATGTAAAACAAACAAACAAACAAAAAAAATAAGCACTGAATCAAATTTCTTTTTTAATTTAGTAGAAGTCACCTCAAAATAAATTTGTTCTTTTTGTTTCTACAGAACATGCCTTTAAGAAAATAATAATCAATGCAACACAAAAACAGGTTGTTTACAGCTTTTAATTAAATGAGGAATGTAATTGATACAAAGTGAAACATTTTGTTGTAAGAAAAAACAAGCCTACATGTTAAATATATAATGTATATAAGCCTAATAAATATATTAATATATTCATTAGCATCTTTGACAGAAAGAACTTGATTACAGTTGTTATAAAGTGCCCCTAATTCCCCAAACAGCTTTTAAAAATAAAAACAAATATCTAAAATTTACATTGTAAATTGTGTTTAGCATAATGGTGTTCATTGCAGTAGATACAGCTTCAAGACAAAGATATTAGCAATTAGTTAACAAATATGTCGGATATGACTCATGAGGATGAATGAGTTTTAAACAAAGCCTAAAGATTTGCAGGCAGTCGAGGCTGTCAATATCACTATCTGGTCCTTTAGTCATTTTACTACAACAAAGAGCAGATGAAAGTCTATGAAAGTCTGGAGGTGTATAACTCTTTTATCAGTGGGTGGGTTCACAACCTTGGCACCAAAGGCTCCACAATGATTATTATTGTTTGGTCTTTGCTCCAAACTTCAAAAACTTGTTTCTGAATATATTTCAGATATTTCATTTAAACCACCCTTTAGGTTTCATTCATTATCTTTTGACAAAATGCAATTGTTGCAAACCTTTTAGCTAACTATTTCTCCACAAACCACTTTGTGATTTAATCCTCAGTTTCATTATAAACACCAACAACACCAAAGCCCAAACTACGGACACAGATTGTATAATAAAATCTATAAAATAAGATTCAAAGTATATTTAATGTTTTCATTCTGTTGGGAGTTATTCTTGAACAAAATTTGTTTATTATTAATTAACTGAGTCACTGAGCACCTTTCATAAAACCACACTTTCAATGTTTACATTGAATTTAGTTCAATAAATCACTTTTGTTTTATTTAAAAGCTCTGCATCAGACTCTTCTGAGGTAGAATTTGGTTACCATAGAAGTCATTAAAGTGCATTAAATCATTTCCTGATACATTTCAAAACACCTCTGAACCTACAGGAGCAAGTTTGACCCACACAATAAGTAAAACAGTTTTTCTATGACTTTTCTTTAACTGTTCTACTTTTGTTTAGTTCACATAATTGTTTTATTATCAGAGATAGGTTTTAGTTGAAAAGAAACTGATATAGTCTGTAAATATTCTGTTATATTTTTTTATTTGACATTTTCTTAGTTAGAATATGTTTCAACTTGTTTTTAATGTGCTCAGGTGTTTTATTGTAGAAATGATTCTTGACACTGTTTTTATTTGTCAGAGCTGACTCAGAAAACTGGAGAAGTTTCAACTCATGGATCTGAAGAACAGCACCATGGAGTTAATCCTATCACCAGCGGTAAGTCAGCACAGGTTTTAGCTACCCTGAAGAAAGTTTATACTGGTTGCTAGGTTACAGAAAAACCATTCAAAACACATGATAAAGACTTTTAGAAACTTGAATTTCTGGCACTAAAAATAAGTCTTATTTTGATGACAGTCTAAACTGTGTGATATTTCTGAGCTGTTACTTCAGAAAAACAAAACAGGCTTATGCTAATTTAATAAAATGGATATGGGGCTTTTAGTAAAGTCATGTTTTCCTTTAGGAAGCAGTTGCATTTTTGGGATTTCTGAACCTGATCTTCACCTCTTTTTGTATGTGTGCCATGGGAAAAGACTTTTACAGTCAAAGAAGAACCTGAAGACCCTGGTGGTGATGGGTTTGTCCAAGAGCCACTGGTTGAGTCAATCAAAACTCCAGTTGAACCTCACTGCAGCGACCAGAATGAAGAATACATTGGAGACTCAAGGGACTTAGAACAACATAAACCCAAGCACACTGGTGAAAAAAAGTTCATCTGTACCCAATGTGAGAAGAAATTCACTTAGTCAGGACATCTGAAACTTCACCTTCTTGTCCACTTTACATACGTATATATATATA